TGATAAAGTTGAGATAGAAGAGGGAGAAAATGAACACTTTAATTCTAATTTTTGTTCTGTCAAACAGCAGATTAGGAGTGAATTTGAAAGTATACAATTTGATAATTCTGAAATTGTTGATATGGATTCTGAAATTGATTCTTGTGTCTGTTCTGCTGCTAAAATTCAGTCTGCTTTTAAAATTAAAAAGACTGATTTTAAGGACAAAAATGATGTTGTATGTTGTTCTAAACCTGCTGTAATTCATGAATTTAATTCTGATTTTGAAGAAGCACAGTCTTGTGATGTAAATACAGTTGATACTGATTGTGAATCAGAAAATGTGCATTTTGATGATTTAAATAATGCTGATACTGATTCTGAATGTGCGCTGAATGTGCAATTTGTTGCTGAAATGCATGTTGTAAGTGAAGAAGTATGTTCTTGTGATGATAAACCTCTTAATATTGATCTTGAATCTGAAATTCGTGCTAAAACTGTTGATACTGTGCAAATTGATTTTGAATTTGATTATGAGGTTGAAAAGAATAACACTGATTTTCGTTGCAAGTCTTTTGAAAGAAAAAATATTGTTGTTGATTACAAATATGTGCAGTTTTGTGATATACATGTAGATAATACTTGTTGTGAATCAGATTGTGTGCATTATGACAGTTTAGTTAATGCTGATATGATTTCTGATTCTGTTTTGTGTGTGAAAACTGCAGCTGAGCAACACTTTGATTCTTTACACGAAAATGTTGTTGTTGATGATTTTGACAATTGTGGTCAAAATATGGTGGAGTTAGATAAAAACAGTGAAACTGAAATCTTTGTTGATGATTTTCAAATTGGTGTTGCTGCTGGGCATCATATTAAGGAAAATTTTGAAAATTCAGTTTCTGAAATTGAAAGCAATGTTGGAACTGATTTAAATGAGAAAGATGAGATTGAAAATTACCTATTTGTTAGAGATGGAGTTAGGAATGGTCCTATATTGTTCTCTATGTTTGGAAATTTGAAGTTATCTTCTTTAGCTTGTTGTATATTTGATGGCTTATATGTGAATGAACCTATGATTGTTAGGGAGACAAATAGTTCTTGGTATAAGTGTCAATGTTTTGAAGCTTTAAAAGAAGATATGAACTCATTACTTAAGAATGAAAATTTGAATGTAGTTCCTAAAACTTATGATTGCTTTGATTATGTTTTGTTATCATTGATTGTAAATGATATGTGCACTAGAAAACTTGCTGATCTTCGTGTTTGTATATTGTGTGATGCATGTTCTTGTTGTAAGACACAATTACAATGTTTAGTAGCTTTGTTAATTGTTGAATTTGAGTATAATCCTATTGGTGAAGATGCAATGCTTTGGAAGGTTGATATCTTTGTATCTTGTGTGAAAATTGTATGCTTTGATACATTTGATTAGCCGGTGCTACTTGTGTGTAGCTGTAGGTTTTATTATGTATCATATTAGGTTTTCATATTGTCTTAAACCTAACTTGATTTCAATTTCTTTGTGCAGGAGAGTAATTCAACAATAGGCTAAAATGAACTGTTTTTAAAATGAACTAAAATATGAGGAAGCAATGAAAGTTCGGACCGTGATGACACCCGAGAAAACAATCTTCCACGCCCAAAATAAGGTGGAGATTTGTTATATATTTTGGCCCGTGATAATTGAGGCCTAGAATGCACACAACCAACCCGCCCAAATTGAAGCCCGGACCCGGCAACCCACTACCCGACCCAATCTTTTGAGAGACTCGTCGGTTCGCAAGCTGCCTGGCTTTGATCCGGGCTGGACCGGTTTGAACCGGTCTGGACCGCTGGTCTGTTCTGTCCTCTATATATAGGCTGATCCATTGAACCGGTACACAATTTTATTCCAGAATATTCATTCATTCAGAGAACAACACAGAACAGAACCTTCTCGCGATTCTTCTCTCATGCCCTAGGCGATTCCTTCGTCATCGCGTCTGCCTTCTCCGGTGAATCTGTCCGGCGAGTTGGGAGTTCCTCTTCCCCGTTGATGCGCGCCTCTTCCCTCGGTGTTTCTACGGTTTGGTTTAATCGATTTGTGCCTTTATGTGTGTCTCGCGATGTATATGCTGTTCGCGGTGTGATAGGCTTGAAATCGATTGTGTTTCCGTAGATAAGGGTTCGGGTTTGTGTGTTTGTTGCGTTTCCGTGGCGTGTCGTTTGTAGTTGGGTCTTGGATGTGTGATTGATGTCGGTTGGTTTGATATTAGGGTAAACTGAGTTTGAACTGTTGCTTCCGTAATAAATCGAAGTTTTCTTTAAGTTTTCTTCGATGTTAATTTGATTTCGAGAGAATATAGCCTATTGGATCTTGGATTAGTAGTAACAGTGCCTTTAATTTTGTTCTTGATCATTTTTCCTATGCTTGAATTATTGTAAAGTATTTGTAAAAGAAGATATGTATAGTATTTGTTGGGTTTCGTTTGTAGATAAATAAATAAAATGATGCGTATCCTAATAACTTCAATTTTTAGGTGAGACGGTTATTTATATTATCTAATTAAGTTGTTAGATAAGACAGTTATTTACATCATCTAACATAGTATTAGAGTTTTAGGTCTCGAATTTGAATCTCACTGTCTCCATTTGGTGGCGTTTATCCCCTTTGCCTGTAAGAGCGTGTTGGTTGACTCTCATTTGTAAATAAATGATGTGTATATTAATAGCTTAACATTTTAGGTGAGACATTCATTTACATCATCAAATATAATTAATATTTCATCCGTCCAACTACAAAGTATACATATTTCTATTTTGAGACGTCCAATTACAAAGTAACTATTTCATTAAATACCTCATTTTTTTTCTACAAATACTCTTACTTTACATCACATCATTACTTTTATACCAAAAAGTAAGGACAAAAATGTTATTACACTACTTTTACATGTCCACTATAATTAAAATACTATAATTTCTTAAACTTCGCGCCAAAAATAAATGTATATTTATTGTTTGGACGGAGGGAGTAGTATTTATAAGAATAAATTATATGTAAATTATCAATTAGTTATGTTATTTAATCTATAAATAGTATTATCATATTGTAAATAATTATCGAATCATTATTAAATAATCTTCAGAGATCATATCTTTTGGTTAGCATATAGTGTGCAATCTTAGAATGTGTTTGTTTCAAGAATTTTAAAAGATTTTTATTATTTACATTAAATTAAATAATTATTTTTATTTTTTATATTAATAATAAAAATCAATTTTACATTAAAAAATACTATATCAATACTTATTTAATCACATCGTATAATTATTCAAATTTAAATTTTTTATTATTCAAATTCTAACCTAAAATCCAAACTTCCAAAGAAACACACCTGACTATTTCGTTTATAGCATAAAGAAGTACCTTCGCATTCCTTTTTTTTCTTTTTCTTGCAAATGTCTTATAATATGTATTTTAACGACTTCTTAAATTCATCATCCAAGTTATCATCAACCAAACTACATCAACTCAAATCCTCTTGTGCTCGAGTGTCAATATTATTCACATAGCAACCTAATGCCAATGTTTGATAATAGTTATTCGCAATTAAATTATGGTGATTCAGTGACGGAACCAGCTTTGCAGCTCTGGAGGGGCAAAATTGTTATGTTTATTTGTTTCATTTTTTTTACCGTTTATTTTTTAGTTGCAACCTATTTCGAGCTTTTTTTTTTATTTGAAATAGATATTCGGTTGTTTCTGTGTGTAAAAAAAATAATATAAGAACTTTCTTGTCACTCATTTCTACCAACTTGATGTTATCTTAATTTTTTCAATTTTTATTAACACTATAATGTGGTTATGAAGAAGAAAAAAATGAACGGAAACAATATTTACGATAAAAATATTTTATTTTTTATATAATACATTTATAAATTAAAATATTATATATTATTATAAATTAAAATAATAACAATACAGAGGTTTATGTAGAATATTAATCCCAAATTGGGGGGAGTAAATTTGATTACTAAATAAAAAATTAGAAAAAATTATACTTAAAAAAAAAAAAAAAAACCCAATGTAGATTCGTCACTGACTATAGTTGATATTATTTTTTAAAGTTAATAGATGACGACTACAATATGAGATGTATCAAATATTTACGATTGATTCCTCAACAAGACATACAATAGTTTAAATATCAACACAATTGCAATTACTATTCTCATCGATCTCACTATAGGTACAATCAAGTGAGCATATTGGATATTTTTTATATCCAAATGGTTATGAATCAACATGGCTTTGAAATAATAGAAAGAATAGCTCGTTTTTAACTAAGATGTTTGCTGGATTTGAGATAAAAAATTTCAAATATATTTAAACTAAATACATGGATAAATTTTCAATAACCGAAAATTTTCATCACCATCTATTGATTATAACAACTTAATGTTCATCCTAGATTCTTGACCCTATTATTATGAACATCTCTCTAATACTTCATATAGTTCACTACAAGACATAGAAAAGAGATAAAAAAAAAAAAATTCACTATTTGTTATTAAAAAAATAATAATAAAATACCAATATTGTTCGAACTCGTAATCATGTAATAAGTCATGAAAAATATAATGTCGATTTCGTAAACCATTGAATGAATTATATACAACTTTGCCTACTACTATTACTACTAATAATAATAATAATAGCGGCGGCGGGTTCCCACGTCATAAAAAAAATAAAAAATAGTAGTAGTATGGCCTGGTGGTATGGGAGTTAGACAGGTTCAAGCCCCCTGACGCTTCAGGTCACCTGCCACACATGATTGCCTAGTGTAATTTACCTGTCGAATCTAATTTACAAGATATTAGGTTCGGTCGGAAGCATAATAATAATAATAATAATAATAATAATAGTAGTAGTATTAGTACAAGTCATTTCAAGAAATGAAAATTGTATTAAATTCAATAAACATATCAAAACAATACATAATCAAAGAATCATATAATTCCGAAATGTCCAACCCCACCAAAAAAGAATAAAGAATACTCCCAATTTTCAAATCCACGTCGAAACAATTTTCATCTAACTCAAAAAAATTTCAATTACCAACTTCAAAAAAAAAAAAAAAAAACAAAAAAAAAAGAAATCATCATAAGTTCCTAAACAAACATCAACTCACTCCCCTCACCCATCACCAGCTCCTTCCTCAGCCGCTGCGAAAACAGCCGGCACGCGTCCATACTCAGGTCCACCGCGGCCGCCACCGCGACGAACAGCGCCGCGTCGCCCATGCAAGTCACGTGCTGCACACCCACCTCCACACTCGGCTTGCTCGCCCTCCCTTCTCCTTCAACGCTCGACTCCATCACAAATCCATGCAGGTTCGACCCAGAAATCCGGAACTTTCCGCCCTTACTCACACTCAAATTCCCTTCCGCAATTGGAATCCCACGATTTATTCCGTCCCCCATCACGAGCTCGAATTTGTACCCGAGCCCGTCGAGCGGGCCCCTCTCCCTCCACGCCTCGAGCCGGCCCCACGGCTTCCAGCTGGCGGCGGGCGCGGGCCCGCTCGGGCGAAGGATGAGCCACGCCCCGGGGTTTGACCGTGACACGCGGTCAGAGCCCGGGGATGACGGCACGAAAGGTGTCGTCATTGAGGCTGCCGCCACGGCCGAGCCCGATAAGTCATAGACTACTACCATCCACCCTTTTCGCTCCCTCCCGATGCGGTCTTTGTCGCCGGAAAATGTCCTCAGCCATCGGCGGCCGCCGCCGCCTTTGTTGTTGAAGTCACATGGGAGTGATCTGATCATTTATTTGGGAATAATAAGACAAGACATATGGAAATCAATGAGGAACATTATTTGTCGTGACATAGACATGAAGATTAAGTTTTAACCACCAAATCTTCTTTCCCACATGGAAAGGGAATCAGATAGTTTTTTTTTTTTTTTTTTTGAATTAATTAATTTCTTGATTAAGAGGTAGGCATATTCTTTTTATTTTTTTAAGATGCGGTAGTTTGAGGGATCATGATAAAAATCCACTGTTCATACAAAAATTTTCCTTCAAAAATATCAAATTAAATATTTATTTTTTATTCTTTTATATTATTCTAAAAATCAATTTTACATTTAAAACATCACTTCAACACTTATTTATATCACATGATGTAACTATTATAATTTAAAATTTTTATTATTCTAAATCCCAATTCAAAATCCAAACCTCCAAACACACTTATTTTATTTTTTGACCGGAGCATCGGATTCTTTTGACATTTTATTAGAAAAGTCACCTAATTAATGCAAATTTCTGATTTTTTGTTTTTTTTATACCGTGGAAATCCGCAAAATTTCATAATCTTTTAATAATATAATGTATGGTCACTCACTTCACCTGACAACATTCGTGATGGCAGCGGTTCCATGGCATCAAAAAATAAAATAAAATAAAAATAAAAATAAAATACTATTTAAAAAATGAAGGATTAACTAATAAAATAAGTATTTTTGTTGTTTCTATATACAACTTTACTAAATAATTTAGTGTGGGTACTGTAATAACGACAAAATAGTATGCACATCAAGAGCACATCCATTGGATGTACTAAAGAAAATGAAAGAATCTACAACAAAATAAATAAATGAACCTCTAATTCGACAGCCATTAATTGCCTTAATTTAATGAACTAAATTATCATTTCTAAATATAAATATATATATATATATATATACAGTCAGTGGCTCATTGTATTATTTTATTATTTATTTCACAACTAGATGACTGTATTTCATTTCTATTAATGCATCAGCATCAGCAATATGGAAACAAAGAAGTCAAACGTCATTATCGATAAAAGCATACTTAAAAATCATTAATTAATTGGATTAAATATTGCCATTTTTTTTTTGGTAATAATAATAACAATAATAATAATAATAATAATATAGAAATATTGATATTCAGACAAGTAAAGAATGGTGGGTCCCAAAGTCCAACTGTACAAGAAAAACTCCAAGAAATCCACCCTCACCATAACGGCGTACGATAGCGAACAATAAAACGGTTCGCTAAACTACGTAGGTCGGGTGCGTGAGTATTATTATGTTAATATATATTATTTGCTAAATTGGACATCATCTTATTTTTATGAAATTGAGTCAAATTTTATATATTTTAAAAAATGCATCAATTTATTTTGTAGTTTTTTAAACATTGCGTCAAATTTTGTATATTTTTAAAAATGCATCAAATTTTTTTGTGATTTTTTAAATTTTATTTTAACTTTTTCGATAATTCTTATTTAATGGTACTTGACATAAATGTGGACAAATTGTGAATAAATTTTAAAATCTTAATTTCTAAATCTTTAAAATTACAAATATATTTATTTTTTTTTAGGTTTTAAAAATTTATTCTTACTGTTTTTTTAAGTTAAATACAAGAAAAATAAATATATTTGTAATATTAACTGTTTAAAAATTGTGATTCTAAAATTGATTTGAAATTTAGGCGCATTTACGTCAAATACCGTTAAATTAGTACGCAGTTTTAAAAAAATAGATATATTTTTAGGATATTTGATATTTGACATTTGACTCAGTCTTAGAAGTCTAAAAATTTGATCCAATTTTGTAAAATTACATGTAAATTTTGTACAATTTAACATATAGTATATATATATATATGAATGATGAAGACGAGGACTTACCGTGATCGATTATTCCGATCGGCGCTGAACTTGCAGCTGAAAACCGGCTGCCGGAGATTCCCCTGGATCTGAAACACCACCGGGCTACACTCCGGTTCGCCGCCGAACTGGAAGACGAATCTCGGATCCGGTTCAGACCGGACCGTCAAATGCAAGCTAGCCGCTGCGTTCCCTCCGGTTCGACCGAGCTTTGTCCAGCCGGTCTGATGCAAGCAGGCTTTGGTCTGAGCATCGCCGAGATCGATGCACACGTGTACAAAGCCCAGCAGCCTCCGACCCTTGATCCCGCACGTGTGGCCTCCCATACGGCCAGAGAAGACTGAGATTTTGAGATTGAGCCGCGAGAGTCCCCGGAGGGCGTCGGGGCGGAGGTGGAAGGTTGCGGCGGCGGAGGTGGAGGATTCCGGCGCGGTGGCGGTGGAGACGGGAAGGAGGGCAGTTTGTGGAGGGAAGTTTTGAAGGTTGAGATTAGCGTAGCATGGAGTGGTTGAAGGGTGGACTCCTGAACCGGCCGGTCTGGTTCGGGAGGCCGGCAGTTGAATGGCCATGGATTCTACGGTCAGCCGGACAAAAGGGCAAGGATCCATGGCTAGAGAGAGAGGGAAAGCAGGGTTTGATGAGTGAGAGTGACTGTAAGGATGGAATATATGTATAGAGGTTTGATTGTATGAGCTGTGTCTGTCTGTTAGGACCGATTGAATGATTTCCTATTGAGTACACTAAGGCTGTGTTTGTTTTGGAGTACTCTATGGACTTCCGTTGAGATTTAAATAATAAAAAATTTGAATTAAAATAATAATATGATGTGATATAAATAAATATTTATGTGATGTTTTAAATGTATAATTTAAGAAATAAAAAAAAAGTATTTAATTTAATATTTTTAGAAAAAAAAAATTGTACAAATAGTGTAAATCTTTGCAAATTCTTCGAACAAAAATACCGTAACATTTGTTAGAAAAAGACAAGAATATATATGTAAATGGTGTGTTTGTAGCTGTATTCTTTTTATTTGATTTTTGTAGATTAAAATATTTAATTCTAAATTATAAAATATAAATATCATTGGAAAATATAGACAAGCATACTGATATGTTCTTGCTTGATTATGAAATGAATATGAGTGCATTCTTTTTCAAGTTTGATTTTGAATAGTGTAGTATTTTTTTCAAGAAAATTTTATATCTTTACAAAGAATAGTAGGGTTTGAACGGTGTCATAATTTTTCATAAATTTTATAAAAAAATACTATATATATTAACACAATTTATATAATAGAGATAATATTCTATTGATCTACAAAAGATCAACAATTTAATACAAAATATTAATTTTAATATTATCGACACGACTCGTCACTTACATTCATCCAAAAATATAAAATGACCAGCCTATAAATGTCTAATAGAAAATGGAGTTACGTAAAGGATGATGGGGTGGTGTGGAAGTGGACCGTGAAAGAAATAAGGGTTTTGACTATATAATAATAAAAAAAAAAATGTTAATTAAACTTCAAGAATGAGAGAGGCTAGTTTTGAAATGAATTATCAATTGGAATATAATTTTTTTATTTTATCATAAACAATCTAATTTTAATTGATTTGACTTAATGAATAAATTGTTTATAATTAATAAATATATATATGACTATTAGTTACTTTTCGAATTGAATAGAAATTCTATATACAACAGTAAATTGCGAATTCTAAAGTGTTTCATAAGAAATTGGGTATAGTTGCTTGTGCAAACAAAATGACACTTATTAAGAATAAGTATATCAATTAATATTAAATTAAAATTAAAATAAATTAAAAAGAATTCATAACATAAGTATAAAGAAGATAATTTTTTTTCAACCTTTTTTTTTCTTATCTTTATTGTAATTTGAAATTTGTCTCAGGTATGTATATATATGTGTGAATGTTGTGTTCTCTTTATATTTTTATTTGTAATTTCTTTTTTTGGTCCTAATTAATAAGTTTTCAATAATTGTTTGGAGGTTCAATCTCTAAATATGTTTTTAAAAGAATGAAATATATTATGAGGTACGTTTAAATCTGATTGACTGTATAGAATTATATGTTTTCAAAAGAATAAAATATATTATGTTTAAATTTGATTGACTGTATAGAACTATGTGTAATTAATTTTTTTATTGGAGGAAGTAAATTTTTGTGGATATAGATACACGACTATTCATGTGCAAGTGCAGTAAGTGAGTTGAGTGTTTGGAGAGTTCTTCTCACCTTCATCCCGAATAGAAAATTCAAAAATCTTATAGTATAATAGTTTGAATGTTACTTTCTTATTGAAAGAGAGAGCCTATTCATTTACTTTAAGGGATTTGTAGAGAGATTTGCTCATATATTGATAGACGAAAATTTTATTAGATTTCGTGTACATTCTTGGGTAGAAAATTTGCTCGAAGCTGCTAGATTCACAGGGCCAAAGACGATATCTTGAAGAGGTTTCCAACATCTATTGTGGCATCGAATGCCAGTGTGACGGCGGATCGCCTGCAATAATATCCCTATTCAGAGCACAACCACTAAAGGCCAATGTCTTGCATGTTTCCTTTACAGATGAGGTGCATATGCATATGCATGTGGTAGAAAAATTAATGCAATTAAGTTTGTGTTAAGATTTATCGTACCATGCTCCTGCCAAATACACAGTGGAATATGTTGATACCCGAGACGTAGGCCTGTTGAAACCCATTACTAGTTTGTTATTTGCTCTTTTTTTTTTTTCCCTCAAATAACAAATAGACTACGCTATTTGAGCACAAGAAACTTATACTCCCTCCGTCCGATAATTAGATATCCATTTGCTTTTTGCACGTAGTTTTAGAAATATTAGTATTATATTGAGATGTAGTAGGAATTAAGTAGAAATGACTAAAATAACCTTATTAGTATGTGTGATATAAATGTAATGATATTTGTGTAATATATTGTAAGTTGTAAGGGTATTTGTAAGGTTAGGTAGATAGTACAATTACTAAAAAAAATAAAATGGATACTTTGTTATGAGACGGACTAAAATGGGAAAATAGGTACTTTGTTATGAGACGGAGGGAGTAATAGTTTGCATTTTATTCGGTTATACATATTATTACCATTCGGAATTGGATTTTGAACTGTGGAAAGAGATAACTATGGGATCGTTAAATCCAATCTACATGTAATTGTAAAAAAAAAAAAAAAAAAAAAAAAAATCTGTTGAATTATATTTTAGATTTGCAACACCTGAAACCAAACCAATCCAAAGAAACATGTTTCGATGGCATTATATTATTATATTATAATCCATTAATTAATTACCATTGAACTTATGAATGTTTTGCTTTGCTGGTTCTCAACAGATACAGATGATTCTATGTATAAACCCTTGTAATACATACGAAAAAGAAACATGTTCAATGTATAAATAAATACGTAGGTAGGTAGGTAGAATACATAATATATATATATATATATATACACACTGTGGTTGTGGGTCTATTAATTGTGAATGTTTTGTTGTACTGATCATTGCATGCAATTCCGACACAAGATATATGAAAATCTGATGTTGTTGGATCAGAAGATGATATGTAATGTTTTGAAATGTAATGGGTGATTGATTATGTATGTTCCATTGGGACAGCTAGCTCAATGATTTTATATATATATCATGTATATTGGCTCGTTCTTACTCCAAATACCATCATTATTCATCCTCCACTTGTATATACTATTCTTTTTAATAATTATATACTGCACTTTTATTATTATTATTATTATTAATGTGCTTTGATGATATATATATATATATTTTACGTGGAAATCCGTAGTCCCTATTCGTCGGGGTTTGAACCCAATGATCTCACGATCATAAGTTCAATCCCTACACTATGAGAGTATCCCTTACGAGACATGTGCTTTGATAATTCTCTTTTTTTTGAATAACGTGAAAATCCGCAAGGCCTAATAAGCTCTCACTAATCAAATAGCATAACCAATACACATAAACACATGGAACGAACCTTAATCAAATAGCATAACCAATGCACATAAACACATCGAATGAACATAAAATGCAATGCATGCCATGAATGCACCCAAACCCGACTAAGCCCATGATCTAATTGCTTTTAGAAATTTTGAAATCTTCAAGTTTTATTAACCAAGAATCATGAGCCTTTAACTTGGCTCTGATACCATCTGTAACACCCCGATCAGCTCAAACCAGAGCGTCACCGCCGCCGCTATCTGTACTTTGATAATTCTTGATACCGCTAGAAGTTGATCGTCTCCAAACTATGAAAACACATTGAAAGGACATTTGAGATTTGCATGAACACAATTTTTTCAAAATATTATCATCTCTTACAATGTATATCGGGTTTGAACATTGACTAGAATTTATTTTTCAAAGTACAACGAATTTCAAAGAAGTTTACAAAAAGAGGTTTGAAATTTTAACTTTTTTAAGATAAAATTAAATATTTAATGTGATATTATATATATATAAGTATTTAGTGTGATATTTTTTTTAAAAAGAAAACTTCAACTAATGTTCAAAAGTATTTATATAGACAGAAGAAATTTGTAAAAATAAATAAATTAAAAAGAAAAAGTTAAAGCAAAATATAATATTTGGAGTGTGAGGTGTGTTCGCTTAGTTTTTTTGGGTAGACATATTATCGATGTTATCGGCAGATCCATCGAGGTGAAGTTTCGCATAAATTAAGTCATCAAATATCCTAATTAACGAACATAAATTAAGTCAAATACAATATCCGTAATTGTATTTGCATTTGAATAGTTGACAACCAGGTTGAATAGTTCATTTTTAGGATTAGAAAATCAAATCCAATTACTCTTTTTATGCATGATTGTTTTGAATTGAGTTTTTCTAAATTAGAATACCATCATACAATATTTTCTACAAGCGTACCTAAGTTTATCAATTTAATTAGGGGTAAAAAAAAAAAAACTGATTGTTAGAGCTTGTTCTTCGATTGAGCCAGACACTTCCATTGCTTGACAATCCTCTGTCAAATTGTTTTGTTATTTTATCTTCATTAGATAATAATAAAAAAAATCTCTTTTAATTTATTATATTATAATATAAAAGAGTGAATCACACCTGTGGAGACTATCTCTTCCTGTATTACATTAATTTATGATAACAAAATAGGTGAATTTATTAGATTGACCGTAAGACGGTCATCCTAGCAGACCCAAATGGACTAATTTTCTCATATGAAATACTCCCTCCGTCCCAAACGAAGCGTCTTGTTGGGAGTTGACAAAGTATGAATAATTGTGTTATAAAGTGGGACCACGATTACTAAATAAGGAAACATGACAATTGTTTTGGGACAAATGGAAATTGAAAAACAAGGCAACTCTTTTGGGACGGAGGGGTATTTCTTAATCTATTTGGAATGGGACATAAAGGTTATTAATCTGAATAATTCAATTACGATAAACAAATATTTTTATTCATAATTAAGAATACAAATATTAAATTTATAATTAATTTTAAATTTTATTATATATTTAAAAAATATTTAAATATATTCATTTATTTATTTTTATAATTCGATTTGGGGTAGATATGACCTAATTTGCACATTTCATATAGTTTGATTTTTCAACTTTGTTGACGTGACAGTTACGAATTAATTTGGCAGTTGAGTCGAGTTGAATACGGCCGTATTGCGTAGAACACGGTCTTGTTCGAACATACAGCTCAGCCACCGTCTTAACTAATTTAAACACGGTCGTGTTGTAACTAACTATGCTCGTATTTATTCTCAAAACACACCCTCTAATATGTCTAAATGGACGTGTTTAGTAAAAAAAGAAAGAGCTCTAAGTCAATTTTCTTGGTAGATTAATGGCTTTTTCCTTTGTTTCGATGCGCTGTGGCCTGTTGTCTGCAGAAAGTTAGGGCTTAAGTTCGTAGGCTACCTCGTTCCTTCTCCGACCAACTTCTTGCCAACTTCTGGGCTTTTCCGGTTCCCTTCCACCCCAAGTTCATCCCATGCAATTTTGTCTCTCCTCCGGCCATCGACAGTGCCCAACGTGTGAAGCTTTGTCCCCGGCTTTCTAACATGGGTGTATTTGTATAAACACGGCCGTGTTTAATTATGCCAATTGAAACAGGTGTTATGTCCATTGAAACAGGTGTGTTTAAATTGAATATGACCGTGTTTATATCAGTTAAGACGGCAGTGGTTGTATTATCTGTGTGTTCGAACAAGACCGTACTTGACGTGTGATACAATGATATTCGATCCGACTCAACTATCAAATCAACTATGTTATCATAATTCGTTAAAATTTGAATAGAAGAATAAATTTTGTTTGGTATGAAATTAGTTCTGATAAATATCTTTTAGTAGGACTAAAAATAAAAAAATTGGGTAATGGAACTAGAAATGATTTTTTGCTAAAATTAACATACGACTTTACAAATCAGCCGAGGCGGCTGTTGAGGCGACGCTTGTTGGTTCAAAACGAATCATTCTTAATTTTGCCTTTTCCGACTTGACGCCGCGCAGATTTTGCAAGAGAATTTCAACTCCATACAGCGATCCTCAACAATTTGAGATCGTAGATTATCAAAAACCTTTGATGGCTGAGAAACCGGACCCTTCGTCAAGGTCATTGTCAGGTATGATACGATTCTCCATTTCTTTCCATTTGATTGCAAATCATACATTTTCCGAAGAAATTAAAGAACGTCACTCCAACAATTTATTTGTTTTAGCCCCTCTGGATTTTTTACTATCTGTTGGGTTGGTGTTATTTCGATTTTTAAAATGTTGGGCAGGAGTCGATGATGTGAAGGCCCCCAATGTTTTCGAGAGAGCAAAGGAGGAGATTGAGGCAATTTTTCATCACGAGAAAAACAAGCACCATCATCACAAGGAGACACATGGATTGCGTGATGATTTAGATAACAACACTCCAATGAGTGATGTGAAGGCTCCAAATGTAGTTCAGAGGGCCAAGGAGGAAATGGAAGCCATTATGGAGGCAATTCATCATCCCAGGAAGGAATCCAAATCTTCTAATTCATCGTCAGATGGTGAAACAAGGTATCCAAATTCTTAAATTCAAGTATTCTATGTGAAACTGCTGAGGAGATATTTTTGTTATATGATATTGTGCATTATTAGTCCTTTTCTCTACAGTTTATGTACAAGTTATGATAAATTTAGTACATGATTCTAATAGGGTCCTTTTATCAGTTTCAATGGAAAATACAGTGCTCTAACAGAGATACTGGGAATATTAAGTATGTTATCTGTTAACAAACCAGATTATATGCAGGAATGGTGCCACTAAGGATTGTTCAAAGTCTGAGAAGTCCGAGGGGCATTCAGGTTTGAATTTCTTTGTGGTACATTTTAAATTGGAGACTGTTTATAATGTTCTAGATGCTGATGTTATGCCTAAGTTTAGTTTGGTTACATCGGATAACCAACAATCTATTATTTTTTAGTACCCTTTATTTACATTTTCTGTTTCATCTATGACACATGCTCCTCGGAAGGGAATAGATGATATTATAGCTTCTGAGATGGTTAGACTATAAGTAGAAAATGTGAGAAAAGATTTCTATATAAGTAAATCATAATGATAAACCTTCACTTTTAAGTTTCATACTGAATTAGTTAGAGCAGAGGGGTGCTTTGTCCTATATCAGCCAATAAACTTTTAATATCAACTTGAAATGTATGATGTGGAGTAGCATTGGTTTTATAAGTGTGACTACTTGATGCTTGAGTTCAAACATAATGCAAAGCTTAAGCTGCATGAGAGTGGTAATCTGAATGGAGGAGTGTGTTAGCAGAGAAATAAAAGAGACGAACACTCACAAGGTGAATACTAATAGTTGGTAGGCTATTTTAGCACACCTGCCTACTACATCTTGGGAGTTGAAATAACCGTGTTACCGCTTAAGCAATGTGAACTTGGTACAATCCTCGTGATTTACCAATTCAGTCAACCAAACACCTAAACAAGGAAGCTTACTCTTCACCCTTTCTTAGAATTTGTTTCATACAAGTTGATCTTGTATGCATGCAGGAATAGGAAACCAGCAAAGGGCTAAAACAAACAAGATATATGCATGGTTGTTTTATGGTTGCAACTACCATGTGTATTTAAGTGTAAAATAGAGTAAACAACAAAATTTTTTACCCAGTTTGATTGTAAAACCTATATCTGGGGGATTCCATTTCAAGACTATCAACTAATGAAGCATAAAATAGGTCATTTATGAGCTGAACAACATAAAAAAATAAGCATTACCTTACATGCCTAACAATCCTTGCAAAATTAATGTTCAAGGTAATTGATTGTTCTATTTCAGTAATAACGCCAACAAGACACACCATCGAATTAAGAGTAAGCGGTCTTACTTGTCAATGCATAGCAACAGTTGGAAATCCTTCTCCATTTTGGTATGAGTTTTATGAACTCTTCAGAAACTTAGCAAGGTGACTCCATGAGAGAACATAAAAGAATACAACTCCTCTTAAAAGTCCTCTCTCTACAATTTTAGCCGAGTGGTTGTGTTGCTTGGTTTCAAGACTACTTTTCCACAATAATTGTACTCCAGTCCACTAAAGTAATTTGTAGCCAAATCCTCATTTGTCAATCCACAAAGATAATCTGGAATTTTTTATCTCAATAATTCAGTTGCTATTGTTTAATCCTAGCAACAGGTGAGACACTGGGAATTTGTGGGGTTTCCTAGTTGTCCACACATCAAACGTTATTCCACCGAAGAAACCGTATCATGGGATTTATTGTGGGCAGAAAGAAGATCAAGGGAAGTGTGGCGCTGGTAAAAAACTTGAAATAGCAAGAAAAATAATGCTTGGAAATTTTCTCTAGAGGATAAGTAACATATGCATCATATATAGTACTATCTCCGTCTCCTTCCATTTGCTTGTTTTGCTTTTGGCATGTTATTTTAAAAATAAAAAATAAAATTATTGGTATGGTTTTAGTTTTTTAACATTTTTGCCCTATGTTTGGGTATATTTTTATAAATCATTTTTAGAAGGATAAAAGAGGTAAGACCATGTGTAAATAAAGAAAAATTGCAAAAAACATCCCAAATTAGAAATAATAGTAAAAGATTGGGAACAAATGGAGTATAATTTAAATGAATATATTTTGTGTAAATTTTGTTCCAAATTCATCTTTATATTAGTCAAAATTTTGCATGAAATATCTATATTTGCGCACAAAATCCTAAATAAATATATATATTTTGCATTTGATATCACGAAGGTGAGCTATGTAATGAAATTTACACAGGTTATTTTATATGTTTGTGTAAAATTCTTGTACTTATATATGTAATTTACCATTTCCCTTTTACTTTCCAATTTCTGCATGTTCTGATTTAATGCAGATATTTATTTCCTTAGCATTGTAGTTCTAATTTCTTTTCAATTGTAGCCATACTTTAAAGCTATGTTAATGTTTGTGAAGCTAGAAGTTATTATTTCCAAGTTTTTTTAGTTTGCATATATGGTTTATATCATTGTAACATATGATTAATGTTGTGATATATTTAGATAGATGTTTTGGTTAATATTGTTTAGAATTATTGGCTATCATTTCTGTTAGGTTGCTGATTGGTTCTAATCAGCATGCGAAAATATAATAAACAACATATGAAAATGAACAAACAATGCATATTGTATAGAGTGTTAGCATATGCCATGTTGTAGACTTTGTGTGCTGAGATCAATTATAATGTATTATATGGACTATTGTCATGTATTGTATTTGTATTATATAAATATGTAACTTGTTCTGTTGATTTATACATAATATGTTAGCAGTATGTATTATTTGTGCTGTTAGCACTGTGCTAACGACATCCTATCGTGAATATCTGCTATATTAGGTGGTTATTATTTGAATTTATTCTTTTTGTTATTCCATAATTTTATTAGTGATGAATAACTCAAAATTTTCTCCAAAATGTAACAATTAACAACTATGTCTTCTTGTAAATTTTATTGTGATTAAATGAAGAGGATACCGAGCATATTTCTGTGTTCTTTCTCAATTTACCAAATATTGATAAACCTTTCTTGTGTAAATTCAATAGCTAAGCTCAATCTTAAAGTGTCAGGTTGTCCTGTGTCCCAACATCCCAACAAAAGATGAGAGTTTATGTTTGGATTTGTATCTTGTGTATTTTAGATTTGCTGGGTCTGATCCATATACATTTGGTTTTAAAAGTTACTATAAAACATGTAAAACTTGTCCCATGTCTTATCCTCTGCAACGGATTACAAAATACCTTTGTCCCAGTGAGAAAGCTAATAATACCCCATCGCACATGAAAAGGTAGGGAAGAGTTTGAACTGAGTTTCAAAATAAGTGTCTAGTTTAGTGATCATATTTTAGGCATGAAAATGGACATGTTATAATATCATTCATGTAGCTGCAGACCGTTAGACTTCTGCAGATAGCATTTATACATGTAATTGAATGGCAAACACTAATGTATGTAGGCAAGTTTTGGGATCAGTTTATATGGCCGGATAGTTAAAGGGACTGAGCAGAATATGAATGCTAACTAAAATGGTGGCGAAATTAGAATGAATAGTTTATGCACTCGAGCATTCCATGCTATTTCTGTGGGGTTTATCAGTCTTAGAGAGCAGAGACTTAAATCTGGGGAATAAAATGTTATGAAGAGTTGCCTTATGAACTACAGCCATAGTGAGAGATGCCATGGGATGGGTAGGACAATCCCAACCTGATCCACTGCGGATTGATGTAAGAACATAAAAAATCGATGAGGTATCAAAATAGTGGATAGATGGCATAACCCAGACCCATCCCAGACACGCAGAAATGACAATGTTTGGGTAAGATATCTGTTGCTTAGGCTCTGTTAAACTGGCAATGCTGTGTAAAATTATGTTCAGTAGCCACCAAGCATCTATTATGTATTGTTCACTGTGTTTACATTTTTTATATGAATGTCAATCACTTAATCTATCCATGCTTGAATGAATTATTTCGTTGAACTTTGCTCGCTCGACATTGTTAGGGAAGAGTTCGGTGAATAACAATGAGATAAAATCAGTCAAACAAAAGCCACATGACGATCATCACCTTCATCATCACAAAGAAACTCATGGAAGGAGAGAAGACATTGATGAGAATACGCCAATCGGTGAAATCAAAGGCCCCAGTGTTTTCGAGAGGGCTAAGGAAGAGATTGAAGCTCTAATAGAGACAGTCCATCGCCGTGGCAAGGATTGACAAAGAGATAGTATTCATTTTTCTGAGATCATTCCTTAAATATTTTTTCTCACATCATTTATTCACATATAACTTCTAACTGTAAGAATACCATGTACTATGTTTCCCTAACCATGGTGTCCCTAGAACCTCACATTTGGTAATGCACTACTCTTTACTGGAGCTATTACATCTAATCTATTCAGTTTTCTCTCATTGCCTATTCGTCGACAAAACTGCTGATATCTACTGAAATGGCCTCTGTTTTACAGCACATCTATACCAAAATCACCTATTCATAATATTTAATTTTGGCAATACTACAATACACTTATCCTCTTCTCATAAGTGGTAGCTTAACAAAATGAAGCTACACAAAAATGTTCGGGAGATACTGCCGCTTAATTGGCTGACAGTCCAAGAAAAAACCTTGGCCGTTGCCAACTCTTCCTAAGGGAGGTGATACAAAACCTCAAAGAAAAAGCTAGCTAAAAACTGGGATTGTCGAAGCTCTATCTAGATGTCATTACTGTATCACGTGCTGTCAAATGGCCTGCTAAACTGCGAATCTGTCTGAACCGCAAAAACTCATCCCATTGTCAAATCTGGAAATCAATCACACATCCTCCAAGTGCCTCTGCAGATTCCAGTTCTTGGATGATTGAAACAGAGTTTGAATTTAATCTTAATCCTTTGATTTCACGTTCACCGGGAACCTGTTTGTGCTGTCTAGTAACTTTAGGTTCGCCCCGAGATTGGGTCAGACTTTCGCTCTTCTGGGGAGGAAGGTGCAATTCTGTGGAGATAGTCATATTAAATTCACTTTGGTCTATTAGAGCAGTGAAAAAAGTGCAAATACGGCTCACATATTCTCGAAAGTTTTCTATAGTTTAGCATGGAGTAATGTTCGTGTACTTGTATAAATATATCTGGAAAATGAGACCTACCAATTAAAGATGAATAGCAGTATGAAATACCGAACATGATAAGTTCTATCTCTACACATTTTGAACCATTTCTGAAGTGTATTCCAGTTGTGTATCCGACCTATTTGCTATTTGCAGATGGATATAAGGAGACTAAGTTCAAAGGTTGTTTGGGTTTCAATTTGCTTAAATAAATTATACTCCCTTTGTCACCTAAGTTTGTGCTAACTTTGCTTTTTTGCCGGTCACCTAAAAATGTTTCCATTTCTTTATTTAGTCAAAGTTATATTACTTTTTTGTACTAGAAAAGGTAAAAAGTACACACCATATTAAGACTCGTGTTAAAAAATTTGAGCACATTTTTTGTGAAGGAGGGAGTATAATGAAGACAAGAATGTTCCTAAATGCATCTTAAAAATGATAGTGACTTATTTTGCTGTACTGTGAAAATCACCTCTTTGTGCATCTGAAGAATCTTCCCCTTGTAAGCCCGAATTTTCTCGAGTACAGCATAACCACATTCTATCATGCTCAGTTTCAAGATCGGACATTATGGGGATATGCCAGTGGCCTTTCTCCGATTCCTACAAAATAGCAAGTGTTTAGGGAAAATATCACATTTTCGAAGGCTATAGTTAACAGAAATTATGAGTGATTTGAATTTAAAAAAGGGCCAGATCCCGAGCAAAGGCATATATGATGCAAATATTTAGTAATTTTGTTTTCTATACTTTTGAAGTAAAAATAGTTAGTTGGATATAATGCTTTTTGAACGGAAAATGAGTATTGGCTATGATGCTTTTGGGGGGAAGATGTTAGATTAAGCTGCGTGAAGAAAGATACACAAACCCAATTTATTCAAATATTTCTTAACCAAGGTAAAAGATATCCCCATCCCTAGTTATCTCTCAATCACTTTTTCAAGTAAACCTCTAAGTTCATTTATTCGACTATTTTTCACACATTCCATGCAAGATTTACTTTGCTAACTCATAGGCCACAGTGTTAAAGCTAGCTGAGCATTAAGGAACACTAACCTGTATAACAATCGAACATGGCGGTGGCATATGGAAAACTGGACCAGTTTCAGTGAAGGTAAAATGAACCTTGCAATGAAAATAAAGAACAATTAAGATATGAAGAAATTATTGTGAGAATCATTGTATAGATTCACAAAGGAAGCTAATTAATCTAGTTTCACATTTAAATCTTCGTTAAAATGGAGGACACTAAATTGAAGTACAGTTATATCATCCAAGTAGAATGATGCAGTGTGCTACCAAACATTCATCACATCATCCTCATTCCTCCAAATTCGTACGCTAATTATCTAAAATGTTAGCAATGATGGAAAACAAATTGCTCGATCAATCATGTGTTGAAGTTCACCTGATGCCTTTCTTTCCACTTGGGGAAAAAATCATTGCCCAAGAGTTGAAATAGATGATCCCTCATTTCGTCGTTGGTTACAATTAAGCATCTAAACTTTATAGCTGCATATAACCAATACCTGAAAGATATATTATTATTTCCTGTGGAAATTCAAGATCAACTTAGCCGGGAAATCCAAATAAATGCTAAGTTACAGCAATAGCCTCACCAATCATCGTTTGATCCAGTAGGTGTTGCATAGAGAGCATCAGCATTTCTCCACTTTTCAATCAAAGACCTATTGAAAGGCTCGTCCATTTTCTCTCCAGTAATGCGCCGGTTATGTAAAACAACAAGCGGCCATTTTCTTGATGGAAGCATTTGGCGAATTCCATTCACAACGGCATTAACCTGGCAATGGCATAACCAACTATAAGGATTTATTAGAAATCAGAAAGTTCCGAGCTACACAACACTTGTTGGGAAATTTCAGTTCTAACAAAGAAGCCCACAAAAAAAGCAACCAAAATAGTTTAGTACTCGTGCTGTTTGATTTTATTTAGCTGAAAATTGTGTCTATTTACACACTTACAATCAATTATTTAAAGAGGGAAGGGCTCTTAAAAAACCACTTAGTAATATCACTAAATCTAGAATTATATTCGAAGTACATAAAGCTAAGCTCTTGCTTGTAAAATCTACCCTGTCTTGCAACTTGTAAATCATTATCGACTGGTTGAGCAATCCATAGATGTATTAAATAAAAATACTTGCCTTAGATGGTTTAAATTTTCTTTGGCTATAAAGGCCAATATTTGCTGCATCCACTACTGCTTCAAACGGTCCATAATAATCGAGCCACTTCTGCAATAAAAAACAAGCTATTCCATATCATTATACTTGCATACGACTCTAACCAGACAAGACTAAAATGTTCCATACTTGGAATTTTTGAAAGTTCGAATTTTTCTCCCTCCTTGAAGCTAAAGCTGCCACTGATTCAGCAAAGTTTTCTGTTTCCACTGGATCAAGGTCAATCGTAGCCAATCTTTCTCCACAACTTTTGCAAGAACCATCAGATCCAACAGGTGAACGGCAGACAGTCCATTTTCCTTGGCCCAACCAACCCTTTCCATGCCAACCACCTCCCCCATTTTCCATTGCTTGCATTATCACCTGCTTATTCCATCTTCTTTTACCCACTCTTGAAGCAATTTTGCTCTTAAACCATCTCTCGATCAAATCTGCTGTTTGCTCTGAGACCTGTCTCACATTCGTCCTAAGTTTGTGCAATATGTAATAGACCTTGTCACTCTTCCCGACTTCTATGCTTACTCTCAAAAGGGCCTCCAGCTCAGGCTCCTCTGGATCGACACCATTCTCCAACATGTGCTTTTCAACCATAAACGCATTATCAACATCGCCATTGTTGCAGAAAATTGCAAGAGCAGGACCATAGGATCTCAACCTAGGATTTATGCCGTATTCTTTCATTTTCTTCACGGCATCAAATGCCATCTCACCATTGCTGAAAGCCATAGCCATTCTGGCAACAGATGTCAATATTGCTTCATTTACCGGAACTTTTTCTCTACACATCTCATTGTACATTTCAAATCCACTCTGAAGCGCAAACCTCTTTACATCATTACTAATTTGAATCCCATCATGCTTACTACCTGAAAAATCGGCATCCTTCATTTCCCGAACCAAACCTTCCAAAGTTTGAGAGCCACTTCCCATCGAAACATCGAAGAACTTTCTCAATCCCTCTTGTCTACAACTTAAACCATTCCCAACCACATCGAACTCAGCCCTCTTCAGGTGTTCAATTGCCGGAGCCTCTTCCGAATTTTGACTTCCACCACAAAACAATTTTGCCATTTCACCAAATCTCTCCATTGATTCAGTTCCAACAGACGAATCCCCGTCGACAGGATCACCTGAGCTCAAGCTCCGGCTGCCACTCCCACTTTTTGCTGGCTGAACCATACCAGTAGCTGCAGATGAACATAGATATAAAAGAACAGCATAGTGATACTGCCCCAACTGGACGCCTTCCATTTTTGCCAAAGCATAGAGCTTAAGTGCACCCACCACATCGCCCCTTTTTGAGCACGAATCCAACCCAATCCTCAGAATAGTTTCAGGAGGATCAATTTTAGGTTTCTTGGTCTTTTTCTCCCTCACCACCACATTTACCCCATTGGTTTCACCTTCAATCCTTATCTTATTCTCATCGACACTTTCTACTAAATTTTCACCTTTGAGCCTCGAAGAAGAATCTACTGAACCCACCGCATTTCTTCTTCTAGAATTATGTCCCATCTTCTCATTTATATACTTCCGTGCATCCCTTCTCTCAATAGCTTCCCCGGCACCGGCGCGATTTCTTTCGGGGGCTCTTGTGACATCCCCTCTGCTTAGATGAAAGAAAAAAGGACACCGTGAAAGAAAATTGGCATTGGGAACAGTACGGAAGTCGGTTCTTGAGAGACACAGAGAAGGAATTGAAGAGCGGAAGTGGAAGGTTTCGAGAGGAGAAGGGCATTTACAGTGAGACGATGAGGAGAAGTGGAGTTGAAAGGGCGAGGGCGACGCCATATATGGCCCCTGCGAGAGCATTCCGATGACCAACCGAGCTCTGCGTTAAGACATCATTCACCGTTATCACATTGGAGGCTGAAGGTACTGTTTGATATCTATTTTTAAGGAGGGACTAATTTTTATCCATCTTTTAAATACAATAATAATAATAATAACAATAAAAACATTTTAAAATAATATTTAAAATTCAAATAAATAAATAAATATGTAAAAGTAAAACTTTTATTACTCTATGATGATAATTTTAATAAACTTAAAAGGGTATTTTGAAAAATAGAAAAATAATACTTTGAAATGAGACAAACGAAAATAGTAAAAATGATATTTTGAATTGAGACGAGAAAAATATTAATTAATAATATATACTCTTTCCATCGAGACTAATGATGCGATTTTACTTATATTTTAATATAAAATTATGATAAATAAAAAATTAATAAAAAAATATTATGATAACCCCTGTGGTTTTTCGAATTCTCTGAAATCCCTTCGTAGTTTTCCGAATTCTTTAAAAATTCACTTCTAGTTTTAAAATTTCATATTATCTACTTGTGAAATGTTGCAAAAAATACCCCCACCGTTAATATTTAACGGCAATTGTACTGCACATGCCATTAATGCGTGTATTCTTAAAATTCACTTAATATAAGAAAGAAAATTACAAAATTACCCTCCATTATCTCCTTCATCTTCCCCAACGTTGCTGTCATGGTTGTTTTTTTCCTGCTCTCAATCGCTTCTTTTTCTTCGGAGTGAGGCGCACCTGTGCAATAATGGGAGTCGACAATTCCTAAATGGATTGGGGTGAGCTCGAACGGGGAAAAATAGTAAGAAAATCAATCTAAAATGTAAGCCTCAAATTGAAATTTTCATTTGAGAAAAGTAACGAAAGGAAAGGAAAATGTCTGAAATATTAAGAAATGTAGTATTGATAACGGCTGATGGATAAGAACGGTGGAGCATATATGAATTTTTTTTCTTTTTTTTCCTTGTACAATAAATATATTTTTTTGTGTGTAGAGTCACTTATTTATGTATGAATCAAATATATTTTTTTCAAGATCGCTAAATTAGGCATTTTTTTTAAAACTTGGATTAACACTTTAAAATTCTCAAATTTAAATTGGCAAAGGTTTTAATCGATCAATCTAACAAATATAATCAATCATTAATCGTCTAAAGTAAAATGAATCTTCTAGAAACAGGATTGGAAAAAAAATGGAAAAAAAAAAAGAAAAAAAAGGAAGAACGGCTAGGCGGGCAGGGAGTAAAATGAATCTTCTAGAAACAGGATTGGAAAAAAAATGGAAAAAAAAAAAAGAAAAAAAAGGAAGAACGGCTAGGCGGGCAGGGAAGAAGAAATAAGGAGAAGGGAGAAGAATATGTATGTATGTGTGTATATTTATGTGTGAAAATGGGAAGAAACATAAATAGAAAAAAAATGGAGAAATAAAAAAGAAAGAAGAAGAAAGAGGAAGAAGCAATAGAAAAAAAATGGAGAAAAAAAAAAAAAGAAGAAGAAAGAGGAAGAAGCAGGTGGGAGTGACGTATGCATGTATGTGTGTATCTATATATGTATAGCGAGAAAAATAATGGTTAAAGATAGAATAAGTGGTCAAAAGTAATAATATAGAAGTATAACGGTCCAAAAAAGTAAAAAGTTAACACTATTTAGTCCAATTTTGAAGGAAGGGGCGAATGTGCAATATTTTGGAAACACGAGTAAGTTTTATGCAATTTTAAAATCAGATGCGGTTTTTAGTGAATTAAAAAAACCACATGAGGATTTTTTGCTATTTTGGGGAGGGGGGAGAAAACAAAGAAAAGAAAAATGAACCACATTGCTAGAGGGTGCTGCTGCAATTAAACCTAAGCAAGCCTGCATAACATCTATTTGGTTCCATTTCCGGCGGATATGGCGAAGCCAAAACATTCGGTACCGTCTTAATAATTGCTTAGTCAAGTGAAGAATAAAAACAAATAGATGTGTACCTGTTGAGTTTCAATAATTTGACAATAAACTCTTGTCAAATTTTAAGGTATTTCGATTTCATAAAATTGCGTCAAATTTTTTGGTTTCATAAACTCTATGTCTGATCTTCTTTAAGCATATTCCACCTTCACGCGCTTAAACTGCAAATAAGTAATAATTATATTAATTAAAAATTATATGATGGTTCCATAATTTTAGCCAAATCCCCGTGAATCTACTAATGAAGAGCATACTTCAAGAATTGACTTTTATATGAAGTAATTAGCATTATATATAGGTTAACAAGCCAAATTTAAGTTTTCATAGCCCGAATACCTAGACATTCTTTGATTATCACACTAACTAAAAGGAGAAAATAAATTTGCTCAACTAAATAAAATAAAATAAAATGTAAGGCGGATTACCAAAGATGATTAAACTATAGCATAGATATGAATTTTTTGTTCGAGATATAAATTTTGTTCATCTACTAAAAATCAAGTTCATTGATTAGTTTGATAAATTGGTTATACTTGATCTATACGCATTCACAACCAACCTTTCATAACTTTGTCGATAGTTAAGGTACGACCGTTAGCTATTTTTCTAATCGAGTGAGAATCCTAAGTACGGCCATAGTTTTATTGACTCGACAGCTTTAAGTAGTAGAAAGACTCAATTCAATTTAACAAAATTCCTACGCGGATTTGTTCAAAATTGATTATAATTCTTCCCTAGAGTATTCCTCTAAGTTGCTACACAAATTGGAAAATTACACAATTACGGGTGTCAATCTCCAATTTAGCTACGAAATCTCAAATCAATACGTGCGCAATAATCAATTTAAGATTTCTAAACTTATGAATTAGAAGAATTAGAAATACCCAATATCGATGAACACCAAATTAAACAAAACCAAGTCTCACAAATTCAATCTCAAACATCAATTCACACCTACGCTAGAAATGAATTTACTGAATTCATAGAAATTGAAAACACAAAACAATTGAAAAAGTTCATCATGCCTTCAATTCTTTAGAAATAGATAAGAAAGAACAATATAAGAATAGAATAACGCCCCGAAAAGTCGTCTGCAATTCTTCTCCAAGTTCTCTGCCCTCTGCTGTGTTCTTCCTTCTCTCCTTTCAAGAAATATGGTATCGTGGTAGAACGTGGTAGTCCCCTTCTCTTCTCCTTTTTAATACCAAATCTTGTCTCTTAATTCTCCATCCCATGGTCCCCTTTAATCCTTTACATTTAAATTCCCACATAATCTTTATAGTGTATTTGCAAAATTTCGCATCAAAAAGTTGCTCAAAATATAACAAAATATTATCATATATAGCACATATCACTAGACATTCCAATTTAAATAAATAAATAAATAAAAAGTGCTAATATGATCAATTGAAATGAAAAAAAAAAAAAAAAAAATAGTAATAAACAATGATACAATGGAAAAATGTTTAAGAAATCATGCAACTAAGATCATAAAAATCGTTTAATTTTAGATGGCTTCTCCCTTACCTTAGAGGCAGTATCATTCATACATTGAAAAATTGATATATAATATAGATTATCTATTGAGGCCCTTGTTACAAGAAAGCGTGGAAGAAGTATGATGAAGTGAAGGTCATTGCGAGACAAGTTTTCTAGCCAATCTTTCATACTCAATCTTTTAAGTACGATTTAAATTTTTTCTTCTTCATCTCTCTGCTATTTCCTTGCAAGTACGCGCACCACTATCAAATAGTACCCGGTAGAAGGGATTTCATTATAGGGAGGGTGGTGGTTCTAGTAGGCCTTTTGAATCATACTTTTGTTTGGGAAAAAACTTTGTCGTTAGTCACTAAAATACTTGTACTTTGAAGATATACTCACACTACAAAAAAATAATATATTTGTAACAGAATTCCGTCCCTAATGTTCACGTAGTTAACGTAATTTCATTCTTAATTCCGTATCTAATGTCATTAGTAACGGAAAAAGTAGATTTAGAGACAAAAAAAAGTTTTGTTACAAAAATGATTTTTTCTTGTAGTGTCAACACTGAATCCACATTATCTCAAAAAAAATTTTAAGAATTTTTCATTACATATACTCTAAATGGCGATAACAATAATCAATTAGGACAATAAGAAAGAAGTAAATGAATATTCAAATAAGAATAAAATATCAAATAAAAAATTGCACATTTTGATTTTAATCTCTATCTATGAATTAGTTGATATTTTTGCACTTCACGATAGGATACAACCTCACTAATGGTTCTAACTAAAAAAAATAAGACAACAATATAAAAAAGTACTAATGCTAGATATAAAGAAGAAAATAAGTAAAATAGATAGATCATATCTAATGTATTTTTTTAGGGTAAGTTTCGGCCGAATCAATATCCTATAAATTAGACCAGCAAAACAAATCACAATAGACAATTATGTGCAACAGACAACCTCTAGACATATCGAAAGTTTGAACTCATAATCTTTTTATAATTACAAGTTCACTTCAAATTACTAAAACATCCTTTATACGACCATCTGATTTATTTTTAAATTAATAGAATCTTAATCACAAGATGTACATAGTAAAAATTTTAAATATTATGTTCATTATTCAAAATTACATATTGCATTAAAAACAAGTACTTACCAAAAAGAGAATTACTATAAATATAGCAATATTTGTGATCACCATATATATAGTGTAACATGATTGTATAAAAACTAGTATAAAAATAACAATATTTGTGATCACATGAATTAGTCTGTCTTCTAGGTACACATATATGAAAATGGAACCTCTAGTTACATTATGTCTTAAAGTAGCACTTTATCCACAAGAAGATCCTTTCTTGTTCGTAAACAAAGACCTTCAAATTAAGGCCGCCGGCGCCGACCACCTCCCGGCGTCGTCTCTCTTAGAATCCAATTAATGAAATCTCCGACGATGGTCGCCGGAGCAGTACCAACCCTCGTCGACGTCGCCACTTCCATCACTCTCTTCTACTACCTAATCCCTCACCCCTCCTTCTACCACTCCCTCTTCCTCTCCCTCTCCTCCGACAACCAATCCCACGTCTCCCACCATCTCCACATCCTAACGCGCCGCCCTCACCCCGCCGGCTCCGCCGCCAACGCCGCCGCCGCCGCCTACGTTCTATCCAGCCTCACTTCCTACAACATCCCATCTCACATCAAACACTATTTCGCCGCCTTGACTTACCCAATTTCCCGCTCCTTGCTGCTCACCCGCCCGCCGCCGCAACCGCCGCTGGAGTTCCCTCTCCGGCAGGAGATTTACCCCGGCGACCCCTACGCCGACGTCGCCGATCAAGTCGAACCCACCTTCCACGCCTACGCCAAGTCCGGCACCGCCGCCGGCGCCGTCGTGTACGCCAATTACGGGAGAATAGAGGACTACGAGAAACTGAAACTAATGGGTGCCGACGCGTCGGGAAATATAGTCCTCGCCAGGTACGGGAAGATCTTCCGAGGAGACATAGTGAGGAACGCTTACGCCGCCGGCGCAATTGGGGTTTTGATCTTCACCGACAGAAAGGACTACGGCGGCGGTGGAGGGGCGGCGAGATGGTTTCCCGACGACAAATGGATGCCTCCCTCCGGCGTACAAGTCGGCACCCTTTACGACGGCGAGGGAGACCCTACAACGCCGGGGTGGCCCAGCACAGAGGGCTGCGAGAGAATTTCCGATGTCGAGGTCGAGAATTCCGGCAACGTTCCGGTGATTCCGTCGCTGCCGATTTCGTGGGCCGACGGCGATGCCATCATCAGGTCGATTGATGGACAGGTGGCGCCCGATGATTGGCAGGGAGGTGAGGGCGCGCCGGTCTACAGAACCGGACCCGGTCCGGGGATTGTGAATTTGACTTATGAGGTAAGAGGTGATCACAATTTGCAGTAGACATATAATAGGTGAAGGAAGATTGAAAAAAGTTGAGATATTTTGTAGGGGAAACAAGTGATAAGTAAGATTGAGAATGTGATTGGGATCATCGAAGGATCAGAAGAACCTGACAGGTACTTCGATTGCAAAAGATCAAGAAACAACACAATGTAGTAAAAATTCGATCTTTATAATTCATTGGATGATGAGCAACCTTTGCTAGGTTTGTTATCCTGGGAAATCATCGCGACGCCTGGACTTTCGGAGCTGCCGATCCCAACAGCGGCACAGCATGCCTGCTAGAGGTCATAGGAATGGATTTGTATCCGATTCTTGTTGGCAAGAGATTAGTTTTAAATTTCTGAATTATGATTATATTCCAGGTAGCAGAAAGACTTTGGAAGCTTCAGAAAAAGGGGTGGAAGCCAAGAAGAACTATAGTATTGTGTAATTGGGACGCCGAGGAGTACGGCCTGGTCGTAATTCTTGTTGTCTTAAATCTGTGCTACACCTAATAATTGAAGAAGACTGATTGATTTTTGTTTGTCAGATAGGGTCTACGGAATGGGTTGAAGAGAACAGGCAAATGTTGGCAGCAAAGGCTGTCGCTTACTTGAATGTCGATGTTGCGGTTGCAGGAGCTGGATTCAAAGCTGCGGCAACTCCGCAGCTTGATGAATTGATCGTACAGGCGACGAAGCAGGTAGACAACAGATCAGATGAAATTCAACTGCAAGGGTGAATAAGGAGTTTCTGTTTGAATGTATAGATAGAGGTTTATTTTGGGTTCTTCTGCCTTGTTTTTATGTTTGTTTAAGGTTTTGGATCCGGACAATTCGTCGCAAACTATCTATGATTCCTGGATTAGCTCAGAAAGAAATCCGGTGGTAAGTTCAGTATTTGAATGGCTAAATTAGGCGCGACGTTTCTTGCATTTTTTAAGGATGTAATAGTGAAGTTGTGGATGAAGATTGATCGACTAGGAGACGGTGGTTCAGACTATGGAGCTTTTGTGCATCACATTGGTATTCCAGCTGCGGATGTATCTTTTGGAGGAGGTAATACGCTCGGTAACCTTCGGTAATCTTTGGTTTCGATATTAATGTTAGAATATGCTCGATGCAATGACTACACTGCCGGTTATTCGCCTGATTTTCTCAGGAAAATTTGTTGAAGTTGCTTGTTCTCAGGATTAGATGATCTTTCTGCATTGACCCCTCCATTGTATAAACACAATTTGATTATTTGAAGTTTTCTGATAACTCAGGTTACCCTGTTTACCACTCGATGTACGATGATTTTGTCTGGATGAGCAAATTTGGCGATCCGATGTTCCGAAGACATGCTGCAGGTTTGGTTATGTTCTTAATCCAAGCAACAAAATGCATTCTCTCTTATGGCTGTTTTCGTTCGACCAGTTGCAAGTGTTTGGGGTTTAGTCGCGCTAAAGCTAGCCGATGATGAGATTTTACCATTCGACTATTACTCATATGTTCTCGAGCTTAAGGTATGCGCGCATTCGAAAATGAGTTGTATTTATTTTTTGGTCTATGTGTACACATTGAGTGCATCTGAAGAGTAATTTCTTTCGTATACAACAGAAAAGTGCTGAAGGCTTGAAAATTGAAGTATCTAGTCGACACATTACCCTCGACCCTCTGCTAGAGTCAATTAACGAACTCGAGAGGGCAGCAATGAAGATAAACGACGAGAGGAAGGTAGAATACTTCAAATGATGATTTATTTTCGTGGTAAAGTATTTATTTGACTGGAAAGGAATCGAATTCGTTAGGAACTCCAACGAACAAAGCTATGGATTCGAAGCCGGGGTAATGTCCAGAAAGTAAGAGAGGTAAACGACAGGTTGATGATGGCGGAGCGCGCATTCACTGATGCAGACGGGCTTCCGGGAAGATCGTTGTTCAAACATTTGGTATGTCTTATATAAACAATCGCAATCCCATATCCATAACTATCTGCGACTCGACACTAATAAAATCTTCTAATTCACCTCAGATCTATGCGCCGTCAAAGCATAACAATTACGGGTCGAAAGATCTACCTGCAGTATACGATGCGCTTGAAGAGGCGAAGCGCCGGAACACTTCCGAGTCGTGGCGCTCTGTACAGCATGAAATCTGGAGAGTGTCCAGAGTTGTGATGCAAGCTTCTCTGTGCCTCAATGGTGAACTAACATGAAAATGAATGATTAGTAATGTAAAATGGTAAAAGACAATTCAAATCCCGAATTTACATACACTGTTGTTACTTCAGTGGGTAAAAAGGGAGAATGTGATGACCACAAAAACATTCTCTACTTCCATAAAAAATCAAGAAGTTTGAACCACCATTTCTTCACCTAAAGAAACCAGATTTTCTCTTCCTTGGCAAGCGTCTTTTAGCTACCAACAATGTTGATCTCACAGCTGCACTCTCATCCTCACTGTCTTCACTATCCAACACAATTGCAGCTTCACCTGTCTCGGAGGACACCAAACATTCTTCCAACTTTTCACCACAAGGAATTGATGTATTCTCATATTCTAAAACACTCGGCTTCTCCCTGTCACAGCCCTGCGTCTTATCTCCAAAATTCTGTAGCACTTCTTTAGCTCTTTCGGGAAGCTGAGTATCTTCAATAACTGCTTGTTTCCCTGCTCTCTGGTATGCAGCGGGTTCATCGACTCGTTGAGAAAGTTTACCACTTTTACCATTTTGACCAGAGGAAACAACTGGGGTATGTAGCGAAAGTTTCTTTCTAGTGGCCGGTAATTTACTAGGATTCTCAGCATGTTTAATAGAAATGTTATTAGCTTCTTTATGTTGCTGAATATCAGTTCCAAGAGTCGAACAATCATGAATTTGTGCTTTGATCATACTGCCATCAAACTTACTACAGGATCCTGGAAACCTTGACAACAGCTCCCTGCTGCTTCCATCAGATCTCTCTTTGCATAATAAGTGTTCAGGAACACATGTGGATGCATTTTGACCTTCTTTTTCATTCTGTTGCAGTAAGGCAATAAAATAGGTTATATCAAAATTAACTTACAATCTAACCAAATACAAACTTACATATTCTGTGTTTGGAAATTGATGAGATTCATTGCAATGTTTGCTTTCAGTTCTGCCACTATCTCCAGCTTTGGCATATTTTTCAGTCATGGATTTAGCTTTCTGATCAAAAGCACATCTGTTATATTTAAACTCTCTACTCTGCAAGACAAAAAACATCACTAACATCGCAGTCTGGTGAATTTAACGGCTAGAAAATAGTTTCATTGACATTGCAGTTTGGTTAATTTAACGGCTAGAAAATAGTTTAACTCACTGCTTCATGCATAAGGCCATCATCGGGGTTTGGCTCATTAAGTAGCAGCCCAATACTTGTCAAAACAGTTGAAATGTTTAAAGATGGTTGCCAAGTGCCCTGTTTAGATCAAATAAACAGATGTTAGGTAGGGAAGCTCATAATCAACATCTAATAGCTAGAATGAGTTAACTCTACCAAAAATGCAAATTGAACTGTTTAAAGCACAGTTGTACAGTCAAGAGTCAACTAAATCACTTCCAATCTCTACTACATAACAACCCAAATCTAATAAACCAGTTTCGTAATACCAACCTGGTCTGAGGGAAGCGTGGTAAGAGATTTATCACTCTTTGAGTGATTCCTAGAGTCATTTTTCCACTATTCAATGGCGCGCACATAAGGGGGGGGGGGGGGGGGGTTAACATAGAATTGCATTCCCCATTCGTTGCCACTAGACTTAGCAACTAATATAGCAAGAGGACTATTTTGCGCATACTATGACTAAGTGTGGTGTTTCTCCTCTCATCCACTAGGCTCTTCCTAGCATGTAAAATCCGAAATAACTAACCCGCGCGATAAAAGGATAAATAAGAAATCGTCACTTGCGATTGATAATAGATTAACTCACTAGTTCTTCATCCCCAAAAAACTTTAAAAATGTCATATTATTTAATTCTTAAATCAGCATATCAAACTATAAACTATCTGACTCCTACTTACTCAGCAAAGTGCCAACCAGTTTTCCTGTTATTGTGTTTCAGCTTTTCAGGTTTTGAAGGTGTAGAACAGCATGATCATCAGGGTTGGTTATGATGGTCATGCAGCTGGCTGAAGTGCCAACTTGTATTCAATTTTTAAATCATATTAATTGGGTTGTAAGAATTAACTTCGATATGTTTTACGCCAATTTGGGGGCAAAGACCTTGAATTATAATTATGTATACTATCCTTCATTCCAGAGGATTCATCCAACATTACAGTTTTACAGTGATTTCCCTCTTGACCCAATTGGGATGTTAGAATACAAGAATATACACATGATACCAAAGGAAGTGAAAGTCACAACAGAAGACTAAGACGCAGTCCAAACCAAGGTTGCCAATGCGAGGTTCTAAGCACCACACAATCGGACCGTCATATGGCCTTGGCCACAATTTAGTGAGACAGCAACCTGTCTATTATAAATATCTTAAATTAATCATTAACTATAAAATTATAACTTTCAATCACTAAATTTGATTGTATTGAAATAAAATATTAAAATATTAAACATCACCATTAAAATACCTAAAGTACAAATATATCACTATTAAAGTTTCAAACACCATAGAGAGATTAAAAAAAAAAAAAATTCTCAAATATCTTGTCAGTTCCTTATATGTATCATCTCCATCACTTTCTTCATTTTCATCTACCAAGTATCGTTAGAAGGACCACGACTACAATCGCATAAGACGGACGGATCTAAGGATTCACTAACACCTTTACTTCGTAGGTTGGAACAATCGAGATTATTTGAAGCACCTATAGCTTTCATCTACATGCTGCAATTTCAGATCATAATCTTCATGAACTAAATATTGAGAATCATCAACCCACTCATTATCACATTAAAATTATTCAAGAATTAAAAGATTGAAATTGCTTTCTTCTTCCCACAACTTTTGAAATTAATGTGCAATCTTTCCATTGTATTTAACATATACTAAATCATTTAGCTGTGCTTTGGTCTTTTTTTGTGTGTGAATCTAAAAAAAAATTATATCAAAATTTTGAAATTTTTATTAAGATATTAATATAACTAAATGTTTGAATTAATTTTTGTACAAGTTCAAATGTGTTCCAATAGCATTTACAATAAGTAAAAAATCAACAAAGACTAATAGTACATAATGCAAGTGATGGAAGCTCTTCATTCTCACCACTATATGCATCACACAAATCAACTAAAATATCATGAATTGATTGAACTTCAAAATTAAATTTCATAGATAATATATATATATACATGTTAAAATAACTTACAAGGACTCTTTCGTGTTTAGTGCTTGATTGCAAATTTCATCCAAAACTTCCACATTTTATCATAATGATCAGCTTGTCCACTAATTTTAACTTTCTTATAAAAAATTATCATTAAATAATTTCCGTTGCTTATGAGCAAATATAGGATCACATCTTTTCAATTCAAATTATTTTAAAGGATTGAAGAACTATACAACCCTGGAGAGCTTCAACTCCATTTGATCCTTCTCTCATTCCTCAATTATTTCCATTAACTTAGCAACCACCTAATCTTATTGCTCATAAAAGATTCAATTGTTTTTGTTCTGGCATGATTCATAGCTGAGGAAAGCTTGGGCATAGCTAACTTTCAGTGCCATCAACTATCTTCAAAGCAATCAAAAGAGAAAGTGTTGACCATAACAACCTTCCACCCGATCTCAAATTTTGATGAAAGCATGATCTTCATTACTTTTTTTCTTTTGAACTTATTATCACATATCGCTACAATCAACAATCATAAATAACTGACTCAATTCATTTACGTGCATGTTTAAACTTTGCAAAGTGAGAAAGGTGGTATCATAATGAGTAGCTACTAACCTCACAAGATCTCTACCACTTGTCTGTTCCTTTATTGTACTAAAAAAATTATATGTCAATAAATAAAAATCTTGACATCCCTAGCCCATTAAATGTAAGGTTTAAATTCGTTGAATATTCCAATGTCCCCAACATAAAATCTATGAAATGGACAGCATAAGATGTCCAAAAGATATTAGGAACGTGTTGTTTTAGTAATTTTTCCGCCACTTTATAATTTTCCTTATTATAAGACACAATTTGCACAATATGATGTCACTTGATAAATTCTCTTGTCAATAATCTAGAGGAAACCTTTTATTGAAATCTATTGACGCCCATCGGTTGAATAACATGATGCAAAAATGTTGGCAAATTCACTTGAGAAGAGAATTGAAGAAATAGGCAAAGAACATGTTCAAATTGTGACTTTTAATAGGGCAAATTATAAAGCGGCAGGAAGACAACTAAAACAATGCATTCTTAATATATTTTAAACACCTTATGTAGTCCATTGCATAGATGACATTGAAAAATGAACAAATTTAAATCTTACATTCAAAGGGCTAGGGATGTCACCACTTTCATAACATGAAAAAATTTTGAGTGCAATAAGGAAAGAACTGGTGGCAAAGATCTTGTGAGGCCTGTGGCTACTTGTTTTGCCACTACATTTCTCACCCTAAAAAGCTTGAACAACCACAGATATGAATTGAGACGATTATTTGCAAGTGCTGATAGGAGCAATAATAAGTCTAAAATGTCAAATAGTACAAAAAAGTGATAGAAAGCATTCTCTTATCCAAATTTTAGGATCGGGTGGAAGATTGTTTATGGGCAACACTTCCTCTTTTGATTATTTTAAGGATAGTTGATGGCGATGAAAAGTTAGCCATGCCCGAGCTTTCCTCAGCTATGAATCATGCTGAAAATAATTTAATCTTTTACAAAGAACAACAAGACTAGGTTGTTGGCCAAGTTAAAAAAAAATAACTGGGAATCAATAGAAGCATCAAATGGCAGTAAAACTATAGGGAGCTGCATTGTTCTTAAATTCTTCAAAATATTTTGAATTGAAGAGAAATGATCATATATTTGTTCATAAGCAACTACACTTGTTTACCGATGTTCTTGAAAATGTGGAAAAATGAAAAAATTAACAGACAACAAATTATTACAATAAAATACGAGGAAGCTTTGGTCAGCAATTGGCAATCAAACATCAAACACAAAAAAAGTCCCCACAAGTTTCTTAAACTTGTATTTTTTATTTTTCTTCATTTTTCATGAAATTTAATTTCGAATATTAAATCAATTCTTTCTTGATATTTTAGTTGCAGGAAGAGATGCAAATAATGGTCATAACGAAGAGCTTCAACTACTTACAATACGTACTATTAGTCTTTGCTACTCTGCTGCCAGTTGTGAACGCAATTGGAGCACATTTGAATTTGTAAATAAATTAGTTCGGCATTTAGTTATATTAATATCTTAATAATAATCTTTAACTATTGATATAATTTGGTCTTTAGATTCACACCAAAAAGATAATAGAACGGAGCACAAGATGTTAAACAATTTGGTGTATGCCCCAATACAGTCGGAAGCTTACACATCGTTTTCAAAAGCTGCAAAGGAAGGAAGCAATTTCAATACTTTATTCTGGAAGAATTTCAATGGAATAACATGTATGATTGTCGTCGTGGTCTTTCTAACCAATCCTTGGTAGGTAAAAATGAAGGAAAGTCATAAAAATGATATATTTAATGAAGACTATCCTGATATTTTAGAAATTGATGGTTTTTTCATTTATTTTAGATGATAATGATTTTTTTAGGCGTTTTAAAACTTTAATAATGACATATTGGTACTTCAGTATTTGGACAGTCATGTTTAATACTTAGGTATTTTATTATTTTGATATTTTATTTGAAACTTAAATCAAATTTGGTGATTTAAAGCTTTAGTTTTATATTGTATAATTAAATACTATAAATTTATAATAGGCATGTCGTAGACTCGCTATATTGTCGGAATGGTGGGCGCCATGTCACCTACGCAATACAGCGGTTTGATGGCACCGTGCCCAGAACCTCACCATAACAGCCTTGAAGACTGTACTCTGTTGGGATAAATTGATTAACTTATGAGAAAATTGATAGTTGTAGAATGTGAGGGAATAATGACAACATAAGTCTCCACCTCCATACTTTACAAACAACTGAGAGTGTGTTTGGCATAGGGAAATGAAGATAGATAAATAGAAATATTTTTATTTCTCTTATTTGTTTGAGTCAGAGAAATAAAAATTGAAAACCTAAAGTGTGTTCTTGTTTTTTTTACTATTTAACTTTTACGATCTCCTTTAAAAGTATATTATTCCGATCTCATATAAATCATATCTAAATTATTATTAAAACATAAAAAATACTAACTAGATATGACTATTTTTTCAAGGATTCTCATTTCACTAATTTTTTCTTACTTGATTCATTGTTTTCTCCTTCATTCTCTCATTTTCCACTTGCAATATATAGTCTCTTCTAGATCGATTCATCCAGACTGTTGTATTCTTTTTATATTTCTCAGTTGAATTCTGTATCTTATGAAACAAAATAATCAATTCTTATTCTTTGTTCAATTCTTTTTCTCTACAATTTTCTTCTCTGATTTTCTATGTAATTCCATTCTTTTTACCAAACACATCCTAATAGTTTATGAAACTAGCTAACTTGAGCATGATCCCAAGATGTGCATGCCCAGAGAGTTGGGTATGATGGCCATGTTTTAGGTTGATTCCATGATATAGAGTGAGTGCTCATGACTTAGTATTACACTGGACCGCCCTATCATGCACTTTTAAAGATAATTAAATTGGTTACCTTCTGCCTAAATAGGAAAGTTAGAATATTCTGTTAGAGAGAATGTCCTATAAACTTACTTACCTTTGTAGTAATGTAGAGGAATAAGGAAGAATCGGTTGTGTTGGTCCAAATTATAACCTACCCGGAATTCCTAGTGAACTGTCTTTTTACAATAGAGGATTAATAAATTACTTTAGAAAGAAAATGTTTTACTTCATTTTGTGTGCGTAAATGTTTTTGGATTATGTTATTCCATGTCTGTTTATTTTTTTCTACTTACTCAACATAAGTGTATGCTGATTCTTTACTTTTTCTATATGTGCCTTGAGTGATTTACCTAGGGTGTGTTTGTTTGGGGGTTTGGATTTTGAGTTGGAATTTGAATAGTAAAAATTTTGAATTTGAATAGTTGTATGATGTGATATAAATAGGTGATGATGTGATGTTTTGAATGTAAAATTGATTTTTAGTATAATATAAAAAATGAAAAATAGGTGTTTGATTTGATGTTTTTGGGAGAAAAAAATTGGATGAATAGTAGAATTTTGTTAGAATTCTACAAACGAACACACCCCTAATGTATTGAATATGGTATTGGAGCATATGGGCCTGAATCATCTAAATATCATTCTATTTTATGTCATGTAGACCTTTGAGATACTAAGAATTTTATGTAAACTTATTGGCTTCGGCCACCACTTTAAATTATCTGTGAAATTTTCATTTTCTTTAAATCACTTAAATTTTATTTAATAAAAAAATTAGCCATAGTGTCACGCTAGAGGGCCTACGAGTCAATGTGGGTCCCTTTTGTGTGGCATAGTGTGATATCTTAGTAAGTAGCCAACTGGAGTGTTACAAGCCTGCTACCTACACTAAACAACAAAGAAAGTTGCTTTTAAATCCAACTCTAGAAAAAAAAAAGGCCAACAAATATTATGCAAGATGAAGACCATATGTATGAAGAGACTAAAGAGGCATACACATCAAAACTAGCATGAGGAAAGTAAAAAAAATAAAGGTGAACTATTTATTAGAATTTGAATCTCATCGTATTTGATTATATATCTACTAAAAGTAGCAATGTTTACATTTAATATAAGACCTATGAAAACTATATTTTGTTTGATATAAGACTTATATTGTATTTTGTCATTTGAAGTAATTATTAATCCAGAGAATTTCTTTAGTGCTATGGTTGTAATTATGTACATATAGCATATTATTTGTGTTAAAATTTATATAACAGTCATCCTGCTGTAGTGGTTTAGTGGTCCATTCTATTTTCCTTTATCCAAGAGCAACAACTATGCCTACCAATCAACTTTAATGAGTTGGTTCTCATGTAATAGTCTTGATTGGATGCCCTCTGTAATGCTGCTTTATTATCACAAAGTAATTCCGTTTGTTTATCATCATAGCTAACTATAATATCTCATTAAAGTAATACCAAGCTATAATTCTAGCAGGAGGTGTTTCAGCCATCAAAGTTCAAAGGTTTCTTAAATCACAGCACCAAATTCCGGTTCAGCACTATAAGTTGATGTTGCGAGAAATTAGTTTGTTTGGTTCTGTTTTGGTGTGTTGGTGTGTTTTTCGAATAGTAAAATTTTCACTGAAATGATTGTTTGATGTGATGGCATACTTGGATCATAGAAGAATGGACAAGATGCCAACAGAATTTCTCTATTACTGTAAAAATGTTACAGCATTAACAATGGCATGTAAGTTAATTTCTCTATGGCTTTATTTAGAACAAAGTTGATTTTGTACAAATGAAACAGCTCTAAGTATCCTTTGACTTCAGAAAAAGGCCAAGTATCACATCCACGACAAGGCTATCTTAGTAGCTTAAATGCAATGATAATGGTAGGAGGTTGTTTCCAAGAGAACTTGGATAAAAAATATTTGTAACAATGTTTTTGTAGCCTTTTAGTGTATTTTCTACAAGCAAAATATTTGGCATTACTTATGTTTGAATTAGATATTGTACAGTGTTGAAGCAAGAAGTGATAGACTGATAGCTGAGCAAAAGCATCCCAAATCTAGGTGTTCCCCAAACTGGGTAACTAACTATCTCTTTGATGCTCTTCTTATAATTTATGTAGCTTTACTACTTGCTTCCACTCTTATCCTACAACTTAGAAACAAATATAAATAAATCACTTATTAACCCTTGACAGATCGCCAAAACCAGCAACTCCATTTTATTGGTTATGATTACTATAGCTCCAGTACTGAAAAGTGAACTATCTCTTTGATGCTCTTCTTATAATTTATGTAGCTTTACTACTTGCTTCCACTCTTATCCTACAACTTAGAAACAAATATAAATAAATCACTGATTAACCCTTGACAGTTCGCCAAAACCAGCAACTCCACTTTTTATTGGTTATGATTACTATAGCTCCAGGACTGAAAAGTGAACTTATTTCTTGCACACCTTTCAATGATTATTCTTTAAAAAACACAAAAAATAAAATAATAAATAAAATGTGTTTAAGAAGCATTGAATGTAAGCACAGTACCTGCGTGTGCATAAACATAATAGCATGATGAGTTTATTTGTGCACAAGACATTTCCTATATCACTCCATATTCTTTCTAAAATTTTATACAGTGCCGTACCAAAAAATGTTCCAATTCTTTCAAATATTTCATCAAACCAAACAAAACAGAACAGGAATGACAAAAATAAGACACCAACCTAATCTGTGAACCAGAATAATGCTGGAGCAAAATGGAAGCTTCTAGGAAATGAATGCTCAACCCATTCTCCAAATCAAGTAACCAAGGTGCGCGAAAACAAACATAGCACAAAGTGAATAAATTATGCATTCTCCCAATCTAAGATCAGCAACCCATGGAGCTTTAAAGGAAGAGTATCTTTAAACATATAAACCAACAGCTCAAGCTAATAAATCTTTTCTACACCCATCGTTTCTATTTAACCATTGATGGCTACAACAGAAAATGTACAGGTACAGTAGTGCATAAATAAAAATTCTGGAGGAACATACAAACCTTAGGCGGGAGATTGAGGATATCCAAGCATATGCGACCACCATTGTCAATGTTTGGGTGGTATATAGGAGTAGCAAAGGTCACAATAGGAGGTTGAAATGGGTACCTTAAAGTAGAAAAATTATATAAAAATAAATAAAGCATCAGACAATAAATTGCATGCCAATCTACAAACAAGAAAGAGAGAAGAGATCAACAAAATAATTCCCAACGGCCACGAACAAATACTTGAAGCGATTACTAAAGAGAAAACAGGATAGACAAAATACCGTTCCGGTATTTGGATCTTAATTCTAAACACGCCATTGGCGTACACACTTCCCTCAGGTCCTTGAAAGACTGCAATCAAAAGGAGAAAAATTACATAATCATATATTCTAGACATTTAAGGAGGGACAGGAGGGAGATGGTGGGAAACGCATACGTGCATCGATGGAAGTTAGCGACGAGGCAGAAGAAGAGGCGTCGGAAAGAGAAGGAAAAGAGGCGCCAGGAGGTGGATCGGTGTGCAGTAGTTTCAATTCCTTCTGCATACGTAGATTCAATCTGGCGGCCTGCGCCATTCTTATTCAGTAATTCAGAAACGTAGTGCAGAACGAGACCAGAAATTGAGAGAATTTCGGGTTTGATTGTTTAAGACGCTTCAAAATCATCTTTGATGAGACGCTAATTAATATCGACTGTGACCTAAACTGTTAGAATTGATTCTAAACCCTAAACCCGTCCGTTCCCCGGGCTCCTTTTTTTATTTAATCCGAATTTGACTTTTTTTTATAATTTTTTTTATGTTTGTTTTGATTGGTTCGAAAAAAAAAAAAAAAAAATAGTTGATATTAGTATTAAAATAATATTTGAATCTATGACCTCACATTTATTCGTCCAACCCTTACACCATCACATGTTATTCTTTACGGACTTGTTTGTGTTCATGTTTGATTTCTCTTGTTGTTGTTATAAGTGACCGATTTATATTGGAGTTTGGGAGTTCAACTGACACTCCAAATTCTTCCTAATTTTTTTTAAGTGTATTTATTTTTAATTTTTTATTTAGTAATCGGATTTGTTCCCTCTAATTTGGGATTAATACTCTACATAAACTTTTATATTATTATTATTTTAATTTATAATAATATTGTCACGTACAAAAAATAATAATAATAATAAAAATAAGGATAGCAAAATTTTAAAGAAAGTTAGACACGAAGTCAGGTGGAAAAGAAGAAAAATTTGCGCTCAGGTCGGTTGGTTATGTCGGATGGTCTGCGGCCGGATAGTCAAGTCGGTTGGTTAGCGGGTCGGATGGTCCATAGGTCGGAAGGTCTGCGGTCGGATAGACAGGTCGGTTGGTTAGCCGGTCGGCTACGGAGGTCGGGCGAAGTAATGTCTGCTCATTTAAGTGAATAGTAGTTTGGTCGCTTGGTGGGGGCGGCCAACAAGTCTTTTGGTCCAGCGACCAATTAGTCGCTGGATTAGTCGGTTGGGTTATGCAGTTAGGCGAGACGGTTGCTGTAACTGACCAGACGACATTTCAAAACGTTTCTTTTGGGCGGTTGATGGCGGTTGCTGTAACCGACCAGGCGACGGTTCCAAGCGTTTTCTTCGATGAATATTTAAGGATTTAGATTTTTTTTTTTTGGAGAAGACATCTTCAATCAACTTCAATAAAGCAAAGTCAGATTCGGAATCACCACTTTAAATTTTCAGCATTTTTATTTCCAGTTTATTTTCTTATGTATGGTTGGTACAGTGTTTAGAGATTCATAATCTCATAAGCTAATTAATCAAGTTTTAAGGATATTTTTCATATCTTTAAATTTTACTTTTTGTTTGTTAGAAAAAAATATATCAACAAATATATAATATTTTAATTTATAAATATATTATATAAAAAATAAAATATGTTATCTTAAATATTGTTTCTGTTCATTTTTTTTTCTTCACAATCATATCAATCATATTATAGTGTTAATAAAAATTAAAAAAGTTAAGATAACATCAAGTTGGTATAAATGAATCGACGAGAAAGTTCTTATAGTATTATTTTTTGTACACACAAAAATAGCCATTCAAATAAAAAATAGGCTCGAAATAAGTTGAAATAAAAAATAAACGGTAAAAAAATGAAACGAATGAACATAACAATTTCCCCCTCCCCGGAGCCACAAAGCTGATTCCGTCACTGGTTGTTATGGAATGAATATGTTCTGATCAAGTATTTTTTGTGTGACTTATGTATTTTCTGCATGTTAGTATGGAATCAAAATGACTTGACTAATCATGTCAAGAACTTTTTGGCTATTGGTATTATAGATATTGCAGTAGTATGTGTAAATTCACTTATGTTTTGTTTGCTTTCATTTTTTTCCCAATATTGATGTGTACGGTTGACCTCAATTGGAGGAGATTTTTTAAGAAATTTTTACAGAATTATTACAAAGTTATTAGTTTTCATCAGTGTTACATAGTCAACTGGTAAACTCCCTTAAACTTATTACCTTTGTCGGTAACTATAAGGTTTGGATTCTAACTTTGGTGATAGCTACACGATTTGAACATTGGAATTTGCTATTATTTTATTGTGATTAACAGACATTTTTCTACTGTGTATTTGACAATGTAGTTGTAATGATACGCTGTATATTCCAAAGTCATTTGAGAGAAAAACTATTGTACAATATAAATACTTCCATCTGTCCGACCACAACAATTGGGTTGGACATGTGTTTTTGGAGTCCAATTTTCAACAAGTCCATTGTCAATATATGTAAAATAATAATAATAATAATAATAATAAAATTGTGAAAATAGAATAAAATATTTTAAGATTGTGTATAATTATTAAAACAAATTCAACATATCCGGTTGACTTGTCATGTGCCATCACTCCTTTGAAAAAAAAAATAAAAAAATAAAACTGATTTTTATTTTTTCTTTAATATTTTGGAACCTGCATGAACTTTTTCAAAAAAAATTCTTTGTAAATTAAGAATTTGTTTCTTTTGGATGAGTTTTGGGGAAATTGATTTGAGTTTCGACTAAATTTAAATTTTAAGATGAGTTTGGATTTTGGTGTTTCTTTAGAAGTGTAAGTTTGGTTTGAACTTTGAATATTTTGAAGTATATTGATTTAATATATAATAATTGTGTTTGTGTAAAAGTATAATATACTAAATTAATTTTTTATTTTGGTAGTAAAATAAAAAATTAAAAAGAGAAATTGGGTTATATTGTTTTGAGTTTGTATTGTAATATTAGCGTGGTTGTTCAAAAATCGCCTAATCGATTTCGAAATCAATCAAACGCCTCCAGAGAAGAAGTTCGGTGTTGGAAAATTGTACAGGTGCTACACCCATCTTGGGGCTTCTCCCATTTTCCCTCTCGCCATTGTTCACCCCCTCGACATCGTCTCATCGCATCACTCTATGACTATTCGTCTTATGGGTAACGATTAGAAGGGGGTTGGTTGGTGTTTGTCTTTTTTGAGTGGGTTGTAACCTTCATAAAAAAAAAAAAAAACCACATTTAAAAAAAGAATAAAAATAAAAATCGAAGCAAGCAACACAACCTTTACAAAGGCCTATGAAGTAGGCTAGAGGAATTGTCTAAGGGTGTGTTTGATTGGGGGTTTGGATTTTGAGTTGGGATTTGAATAGTAAAAATTTTAAATTTGAATAGTTGTATGATGTGATATAAATAGGTGTTGATGTGATGTTTTGAATGTAAAATTAATTTTTAGTATAATATAAAAAATAAAAAATAAATGTTTGATTGGTGTTTGACGTTCATTATTTTCGAAATAGTAATTCAATAGTAAATTTGGCCAAAACTTGTCAAAGAAGCAGACCCTAAGTAATTGTTATAATAAATGAGTATAGAATATATTATATAAATATATGGTTGTGTTTTGTGTTTATATTATTATATATAAGCATGAAATGAAATGTAAATCTTTTTATACCATCCAAATTTATATTTACTTTCCCTTTTTTGGTTTTTCATAAAAAATATTCTCATTCTATTTTTTAGTGAAAAATAACATTTTTTTTCTATTTTTTCTTTACTATAAAGGATTTTTTTTACATATTCTTTTTAAAATTCGTGTCCGATCAAATGAACATGAGTTCAAATGACAGAGATAATATGTGACACTTCAGCCCGCAATCCACACAAGAACAAGTGTGTCGGGATCGTAGACTGACCCCACAGGTCAACACGAATCATTTCAGTGCGTTTTTGTCCTCACTCACACGCACCCTGGGAGAACAAGCACGCTTAACCCTAGGGCTCCAAAAAAACAATGTGCATATTGTTAACTTTAGTAGTCTATTCAATCTATTTAACTTCTAACCAACTCCGAATGATTTAATACCGGCTCATCCACACACACGAGAGTTGGTCAAGCAATAACCCAACTCCGGGTATCATATAATATATCTATATATGTATATATATGAATAAGTATATATGTATTACTCCCTTTAGTTATTTTTTTAAAATGTGACCACTTTCTATTTTTGTTTGTCTTTTTAAAAAAAAAAATTATTTTTTTATTTAGTAAAATATTATAGTATTACCTTTATAGTAGGATTTATAGTTTTCTTATTATAAAAAACAAAAAGTAACAAAAGTTATCAATCAAAATTCCATACATCAAAATATGTGCTAAAAGTTTTGATTATATTTTTGTGAGAGAGATCAAATATTTTGTATGTATATACATAGATATAGATAGAGAGGAAATGGGAGATTGAGAAAGTAACAGATATGAATTATTGTCTTAAATATCTCAATCATTATTATAAATTAGTACAAACATTTATAGATTTTTTCATCAAATAAAAAACAGTCACACAACATCGACTTAATACATATGAAGATATTATGTGATAGATTATAATGTGCTTGATGTATATATAACAGTAATTTATTAATACTTTAATTGCGGTACATCCCACAAAATCCATCATTTTTAACCAACACTTTGATCCTCATACCCGTTCAAATTCAATCTCTAATGCCTCAGTATTTTTAATTTATTTGTTTTTTTCAATAAAATAGTTAATTTTACAATATAGTTACTATTTATATTTGTAATACTTCCTTCGTCCGGTTAGAAAGTATACATATTTCTATTTTGGGACGTCCAATTACAAAATAAACATTTAATTAAATACCTCATTTTTTTTTTACAAATATCCTTACTTTACATCACATGAAGGGCAAAAATGTCATTTTTATTACTTTTAACTACCCACTATAATTAAAATACTATTATTTCTTAAACATCGTACCAAAAGTAAATATTTACTTTGTGTGTGGACGGAGGGAGTATGTTATATATATATATATATATTTGTAATATTGGTTGGGATTATGTGTTGAACCCTACATTGTTGTATGAAGAAACACAAGATTCATTCAAGCGAGTTTTCAATATTAAGTGCACACTGGGTAAACCCTCGACCGAACCTAATACTCTGCAAATTATGCCAGACAGATAAGTCACACTAGGCGAACCATGTGTGGCAGGTGACCTGAGGCGTCAGTTCACGGTCACAAGTCCAACCCCACACTATCAGGTCATCCATTACGGGATGCGTTTTCAATATTTTTTTTAAGTACATGGTGGTCGTGCACAAAAAACTATTTTTACGGATCAAGATTTGGCTATTGCTCCAGCACTAAGGGAAACAATGCCAACAACATATCAGTC